TGTAATCAAAGCAAAGGCCTTGGAACAGAAAGTAAAGTTGGGAGCATCACAAAGGAAATTCCATTTACTGACATGTTACTCTGGTTGTGGCAGCAATCTAAATACTGGATATCTCAAAATGAATCATGCAGGCAAATAAAACCGAAACTATTTTGATACTGTGGAATATTTTAAGCCTTGAATGTGTGCATACAATCTTACAAGCCTAAAACTCACACTGCTTTCTTATCTGTCATTGTCACCGAAGCAATTCTTTACCCATTGTGATTGACTGTTGTTTCACATCTCATCTCACTCTCTGTATCAGTTTTCATTGATGCATGGCTACTACAAATATTCTCACGATTTACCAGCAGGGCAGCAGTGCAACATGTTTGTAACTGGTCCTGGTGCAAATATTTTTCTTGTGCCCCCGACCCTCCGGCCCGAAAAGCACGCTCAAGTACATGTGGGCATCACACATTGATTCCACACAATCGCTAACCTGCAGCCTTTGATCAGCACCACGGACAGAAGATGAAGTGTCAAATCTAACAATCTGCCCTGGACTCAAAGCACCACAGCCTGCTGTCTCTGACTATCAAAGAACAAAATTAGCTTTATCCAGCCTACAGTAACAAATCCACACTAAGCAGCTTACACAGTATGTCAATAATCACAAAACAAATAGCAATTAAAATCATCATCATCATTGTCATTAGATTACAGTTAGTGTGCATTTTCTAACATTTGAGAGGTGATTTAAATGCCTCCATGACAAAGAGACACATGTACTCACCCATTAGAAGTTCATCCTACGGGGCTTTCACTCAGCAAAGTCATTAATAACACTGCTCAAGTCCATATCCCATACTCTGCTGTTCTAAATTGAGAGTATAGACAATCCACTGAGTCTTATGTCATGCTGCTTGCGGTACTAGTCACTGCTGAGCGCAATATGTGAAAGTGTGAAAGGGGCACACCCACAATGCATTGCACCTGCTGAACTGTCTCTAGGGGGGTCAATGTGTTTACAGCCGAAGATAGACAGGAAAGGGGGGTAAAGAAAGTGGGGATGAGATGTAGCAAAGGGCCGCGGGTCAGATTCGAATTTGGTGTACTTTTTTTTTAAACATCTACTGCAAACTCAGTAACTGAATATCCAATGCATGTTTACCTGTATGCATGAAGTTTTATAACTAGGTTGTAGTTGACATGAGAAGGCAATTAGATTAGTTTCATCTGAATGTCTGAAACTGGTCAAACAACAGATTAATGGAACTGTGCCAGGTCTTGCTGTATAAAGCCTGGTTGCAAACCTGCAGTTTCACATGGATCGAGAATTTTCAGGCAAAGTTTCTGCAATTTCAGCAATGCTTTAGAAATAATTTTAGCTGAAGCATTCACACTGCATTTTCCCCAGGAAATGCATTTTCAAGTTATAAATAACGATGCACATTCAGAATGTATACTTGCATCTTTCCATATTTTTTAGTTATCTGTGTAATATTTATTAGCTTTTAGATTTAAATAAATCTACTGCATATGATAGTCACATTATAATTATACTATATTGTTTAATTAGAATTGTTGCAATCAGATGAAAGGACTTGGAACAGAAAGTATTCACACCATTAAAAAGGTTGTTAGTCAGTAAAAGTATAAAAACTACCTGTCTGAGCACTATGTTAGCATTTCCAGTGGTCTGCTTCCCCCCATGGTGATGGTATGGTTAAGTTTAGACAACTAAAACCTTGTGGTAAAGGGTAGGGAAAGATCAGATAGGATAGATAGATAGGTAATGATTGTCTTTGTGGTTAAAATAAATGAGGTTGACTACCAAATGAAACACTGTTGAACATGAAAATTCTCACGGTTCTGTGGATTATCCAGACCAATTGGAAACAATGTTCTGTAAAGTTTAAGTTTTTTATTTCCTTTTTCAGTGTTGGGAGCACTGCAAAAGAAATTCTACCCAGTCTCATTGTACTGGGTGTTGGCTCAGAGATTAATATCTCAAAACATGCCAGTAAATATCTAGATACCACTAAAGGTAGGTGAGAAAATATGTTCAGAATGTTTTGTTCACTTGTCATGGGGAAGCAATTAATTGTATCCATCTGAATACCAGTAACTGGTCAAGCAACATAATTATAGAACTGTGCCAGCTCTTGCTGTATAAAGCCTGGTTGCAGACCTGCAGTTTCACATAAATGAGAGGGTTAAAAACAAAAGAAGCCCGTATGAACAGGTAATGAATTTATTTTGTAGAAATTAGATTTTTTTTAAAGCTGTTTCTTAATGATACACAAAAATGGTGCAAATGATAGTAACTGAATGATAGTAATAACCTTTTCATTTTTTTGGAGTCAACTATTGGACAGAAAAAAAAAATTTATTTTTAATAAAGCATTGTCCTGTTTGTTTGCCAGTCAGCAGGGTATTAGTTATATATAACATATTTTGCTAATAATATCAAATAAGAAAAATACAGGATTGTGTATCCTTGTATGCACTTTCTGAGTCCTTTCAATTTGTTTGTTTGTTTTTGTTTTCTTGTCTGGAACTTAATTTGTTATAATTGGTCCGTAGGTTTTTATTGTAGGATTTGGAGAATGGCAAGTCAAATCATGTTGCCTGTGCTGCTTTTGGGGATGATAAGTAAGTATTCAATTAAATCAAATTAAATTTAATTCACATTTATTTCTGTTGATGCATTTATGTAAATTCCCTGACTTTTTGTCTACTGATGTTAGCAGTCTCAGATGTTTTCCCAATTATGTTTATTCATTTGTTTTCATAGACATGGTGACGCCACAGACAAGTTCAAGTAAGTTAAAGCTTCGATAACCTATTAGGCTACATTCACACTACAAGCTTTAGCTCTTAAATCTTTTTTTTTTTTTTTTGGCTGTTAACATTATTTTTTAAATGTTCCAGTTCCAGTGTGAACAGGTCACCAGCCTGGAGTGACCAGCATGAATTTTAATCTAAAGTGAAATAAAAGTCACATGAATTCTGATATGACTGTTCACACTGATGTTACATACAAAATGGCCTGAATCCGAATTGAAAGTACAGTGAATATAAACGGACAGCAAACAACCTAAAGTGAATTTGTTTCAAACTTAAAAGATCAAGTAAATACCAGTTAAACAGTTTATTCTGCTGCACTTTCTAATGCCAAAAGTGATGTCATATTGTACTGATACACCATAAAGTACATTCAGCTAAAAAAATATCTTCAGGCTGTGTTTATTAACTGACTTTTTGTGAATATATGTTGAAAGTCTAAGATTCTTATCTAATTATATTTATGCATTTGTTTTCATAGGTACTGTGACTCCTAACATGACGTCAGGTAAGTTGACGCTCAAATAACCTCTTAGTTTTCATTTGTTCATACCCTTAAAAAGCCAAACATACAACCTTTCAATCAAAATCTGTAAATCAAAGCAGTTATTTCTTCAGGTTTATACTCAGTACCCCTGGATTACATCTAATACCACTCTAGTATGATTGTATTTTACCAGGAATGAGTAGCTTTTAACAGAAGATGTTTGTATGCATTTGTTTTCAAAGGTTT